AAAGGCATCTATTATCACAGATAAGCATTTTATATTCATTTGTCTATTAGTTTTCTTAAGCAGTCTACTAGCTAATAATATAAAAATTCTCCATCCTGTAATCAATGTATTTCCAAAATGCTGTTTTCATGGCAAAAAAAAAAACACACTTGGCTTCATTTTCTTAATAAAAACTGTTTAATCTTCTGAGTAAACATTAGTCATACTTGATACTGCACAGAATCTGAATTCAATGAAGTAGTTAAGAAATTTCTAAAATTCCAAGAGCAATATAACTCACCAAGAAAATCTACTCAAGAGCTTATTTTAAAAAGCTAAAAGTCAATGTCATACCAAAATTTTAAATAACATCATGCATCCCTCCATTTAATAAATTATTTCAAAATCAGGTCACAATTGACAGACAAGCTATCTTGGGCAGACGGCAGAGAGTAGATAAGCAGGGAAAATTTCCTCTTCTCTACTGAAGCATGTCCACCAACTGTCAGATCTGGAAAACAGCCAAAATGAGTGCTTTATTTGCAAAAAGAACAGGAGACTTAAAATATGAGCAAAATGTGTGGTGGATAAACGTGGAATATGGAGAATTCTTTTAGCCTTCACATTTATGAGTATTTACTATTTCAAACACAGATTAAGAGAAAAAGTCCACCCCATAAAACAAGCTGGAAGAGTCAGAACCAGAAATCTTGAGTCCCTGTGGATAACTTTACCCTTTCCTTTGGGCTGTGACCATCCTTCCAGAGCACAAATCCTTTCTACCCTTCCAGGACAAATAATCTGCCCACATGGGTATTAACTAAATTAGACACATAAATTAACTTGAGATACCCAGGGCCAAGCCACATCTCTTTCTCTTCACCTTCCTTCTCTTCCTTCTCTTCTCTTTAGTCACAAAGCATTTTCTAGTTTCCTTTCCACAGGAATTACTGGTAAAAGCTGACACAGCTGAGCTGTGGAGGGACAACAACTAAAGTATGAAGGAGAAAAGAGACAGGGAAACTAGAATGTTAATAACCAAAAGAGTAAAGGATAGGGGCTGGAGAAATGGGTCAGCAGTTAAGAGCACTGGCTGTTCTTGCAGAGGACCCAGGTTCAAATCCCAGCAACTATATGGTAGATGACAACCACCCGTAACTCCAGTTCCAGGAGATCTGACATCTTCTTCTGACCTCCCCAGGTACTGCATGACATGAGTGCACTTAAACACATGCAAACATACATATAAAATACACATAAAATAAATAAATAATCAATAAATAAATATAAATAAAAGTTAAGAGTAAATACCTGGGGCTGTGTCTGAATCTATTCAAACTTATGAGTATAGATTAATATTCTCAACTCACATTGGGGCCATCATCAACAAGTCCAAAACAAGTTTCCAAATGGGATTTTCATTGATCCAAAACACACAAGAAAAATAATGGAAGGCTCTAGATAGTATTCATAGCAATGATGTAGAAAAGCAGAAGTGGTAGGCATTCATTTTGAGTGACTTCTCTGTTGGAAAGGCCCTGATAATTATAGCCTTTCTGTTAACACCACTCTGGCTTTGGACAGGGTGCCCAATTCTGTCATGCAGTATTCCGGCTCTTTGAAAAAGTAAGAGAAGCATAACAGAGAAAAAGTGGGAGGTGTAAGATGAAGAAAGGTTTCTTAGTTGAGTTCATTCTCTCAAGAAATTTACAAAATAAAGTTGTGGGAATGGCTCAGTGTACAAGCATGAAGACCTAGGCTTGAATGGCCAGAGCCCACATAAAGGCAGGCATGTGGCATATCTGTAATCTCAATGTTCTATAGTGAGACAGAAGGCAGAGACAGGAGAATCTCCAGAAGCTCAAAGAAACCCTATAGTAGCCAGGTAGAAACTGAGGACCAGCACCCAATGCTGTCCTCTGAGCCACACACTCCCATACTCACACAGGTGAGTATACACACACACACACACACACACACACACACACACACAGCAATACACATACACACACAAAGAAATTTACAAAATAGTTGAGGTAATAAATATTTTTATATGTGCCATTTTTGAGATTTTTATCTCCTTCCTCCCCTAAAATGAGGTTGGGTTCAAGATACCCAGAAGTTCCTAGTTTGTGATAAAATATCCTCTCCCTGGGATCTTTCTTTGTTTTGACTTCTGGTCTTTCCGACAGTCCAGGTGTTTAATTTCTCCTTGATTCTGATAGACTTCTGCAGTCTTAAAGAACAAGAAAGAAAAACTTCAAGGATGGTCAATCAGACATGGATCCTTTCCTTCCACCAGATAAATGATAATAATGTTGGTTAGATTGCTGAGCAGATAATTATCTGTCAATTCACAATTTAAAAATTCTGGAGAGATGTTGAAGGGCAGTAGGGAACAGACAATATAGGTAGTCTGCACAATCCTTTGTTAGAGTAATGAAATGTCACCAACTGGTTCAAGAGCCATTTCTGAGGCTAAGGAGATGTTTGGCAAACAAGGCTCAGTTGGTAAGTACTTGCCACTTAAGGATGAGTACCTGAATTCAATCCCCAGCACCCATGTAAGAAACTCGGACATGGAGGCAGGCATTGTAATCTCGGCACTGGGGAGTCAGACACACAGGATTCCTGGGACTTGTTGGTCAGCAGTCACGGCAATTGTCGAACTCCAGGCTCATTGAGAGACTGTCTTAAAAAAATAAGGTAAGAGTAACAGAAGAAACCCAATGCTAACCCCTGGTCTCTACATGCATGTGCACATATATGCATACACATTTGCATACACATAAACATATAAACACATGAACAAACACTCTCACACACACAAGCCTTTACAAGGACCTCATAAAAACAGAAGCCAAGATGCAATATTATGGAATACTAAGGAAAGGTCCTACATCATTGTAGATATTGATGTGAAGAAAACAAGACTGTAACAATAAGAATCATTGTTTCAGGGCTGGAGAGACGGCTCAGCGGCTGAAAGCACTGGCTGCTCCGGCAGAGAACCCAGGTTTGGTTCTCAGCACCCACATGGTGGCTCACAACTGTCTGTAACTCCAGTTCCAGGGTTCCCAACATGCTCTTCTGGCCTCCACGGTCGCTGTACAGGTGCACTTACATACATGCCAACAAAGCACTTATACACATAAAATAAAAATAATTTTTTAATTAAAAAAATCACTACATCTGAAGATGCCTGCATAGTTGTACTTGAGGTGTATCACATTCTAAATCCAAGCCTGTTTAATTCCCTTCCTAAGTACTACAACTAAAACTCTGATCATTTTCCACTGAGCTTGTTTTCCCAAACCTAAAGAGGAAGAGCAGCAACTGATAATACTGCCTACTGTTTATATTTTCCTAAACTTGGCGTGAAAGCGGAATGGTCTTTTAAAGTGAAGACTATAACTGCAATGAGTTATTTCTGCAATGCTCCCAACAATTTTTTTCCCACTTTTTGCAAATAATGATGGTATTTTCAGCTACACCAAATGTTTACAAAAGAGCTTCCTGGAAGTTTCTTTGCTGAGATTTATTTCTAAGAATTATAGATTCCTAATAATAATTTAAAGTCTGGAAAATCCCAGTACAAATTACTTGCTGTCCTGGTTCATTTGGAGCAACAGTCATTTTTATAAGACC